CTTAAACCAATAAAGAACTTAAGTAATACTAAGAATGCATTTTTGTCTTAAGTTTTATTCATAAAACAACTTCGCAGGGGTAATAAGGAAGCACACAAAATATTCTACCTTGACTTAGTCAGTGCTACATTATGACGTCATAGTAGGCGAGATGACGTCAATTTTAGAATGCAAGTTTTCGTAATATTCGTATTTAGAGATGTAATTTAACTCTAGAAAATGAATAAAAACGTGTAAACATTTACAAAAATAAAATGTTTTTATTTTGTTATGCTGTATCTGTCATTTTGATTAAAATCTACCACCGATGACGTCATATGTGTACTTCAAGTAACTTGGGAATTGATCATGTCGTGTAAAGAGAATTTGGCTAAGACGGCATGTACAAAGATACGTAAAATGGAGTTTAGAAGCAAATATCCTGAATATTTTGTGAAATTCATATGGAGTTCAGTTACTAAAACAGGTATGCTAATTTATTTTCATCGATTGTATTCTCTTCGAAGACAGTCAGATATATACGTATCCCGGTCGGCCTTTCCTCTGTCATTTGTAACAAAAATAATGCAGCAGAACAACAATAAGCTGCATATTTCAAAACATAAGATTTGTACAGATGGAAAGTTTGCCTCCTAAAATACTTGGAAAGTGCTGCTAGAATCCCGAGTTAAGCATGGTTTTACGAAAAATCTCGGTTTATATGTATAAAATTCAAAACATCGGGTAAGGTTTCGTGCGAATGTGTGGAATTATTATTTTACTGACGGGACAGTGGGATTCTAGCAGCACTTTTTAGGCAAAATAGATGTTTTCCAAATATATTATTTACTCAAAGAAATTATTACACTTCGGGGTATTGTTGTTCTGTTAGCTTTTTTACTAAGGAAAATTTCGCTATTAATAGAAGTCACGTGATGCCGTGGTGGTGGTGCACGTCTTTGCGTTAGACACTCTTTTATCTTTATGCAATAGATAATAATAGTTTACATTTATCAGCGGTTTTGGTAAATTATCAAACTTAATTTTCTTTAAAAAGTCTAAATTTCCAGAGAATTGACTTATATGCTTCCTTAACATACCCGCGTTTATTCTTAGAAAATTCTTAAAAATAAGTGAACTCTGCAGCAGTCTTAGTGCAAAGAATTTCTTCAGTTCGCAAGTAAAATTGCTGTCAATATAGTTCACAGAAGAAACTTTAGAAAATGAAAAGTTTGTTTTCAAGAATACACTATTTTGAACTTGAACGTTTCTTCTGGATTAAGGAGGAATTCTTTTTGAGGAGTCTCTTGTTCATAACCAAAATACCTAATGGTTCAAAAGAAAGCATACATTATCCTCTCTTTAAAACGTTCTTCTCACTTTGAGGTACTTAGCTACTGGAAAATACAGCTATGCAACGGCGAGACATGGGTGTTTCCCAACCAACCGTCTCTCGGGCTATTTCCATAATACTGACAAGTTTTACCCCCCCCCCCCTGCAATAATCAGCCGCTTTGTAAATTTCCCTACCAGCGCAGCAGACATACAAAGAAATATAGTCATTTTTTGCAATTACGGGTTCTCCAGGCGTTGAGTATCACATGAGTACTAGAACGAGTTTTCAACAGATACTATTACCACAAGCATAACATCAAAGATGTTTTTGATGCAAATTATAAAATAACTTATATCGTTACCAAATGGCCAGAGTCAACACATGATTTGCGTATCTTAAACGAAAGTGGTCTTACTTGAGCAGACCCATCTCCCTGTCCACAAACACTTACTAGGAGACAGCGGATACCCCTCGAAACGTTGGCTGATGACCCCTTTCCTGAGACCAAACCAGGGATCCCAGTTAAAGTACAAGTAAAGTTTGTCATCTTTAATACATTTCCACTTTTCCACCTTTTTGAAGGTAAACAAGTATAGTTAACAACTCGGCTACTTTCACTTCGTAAAACCGGGTAGGTGTAAAGTAGATCAGAATAGAAGCACCCTAGCGGGCGAATCCAAAAGTTTCAGCCGTGGGGGGGGGGGGGGATGAACAAATGCTCTTAAATTTTAATTTTTAGTATTATTTTTATGACTGTTTTTTAAAAACTTTTTTGAAACATTCTTTATTCCATCTTACAAGATATATTTATTTATTTTATTTTTAAAAAATTGTTTAATAAACTACAGCTACAAATTATTTTCAAAACAGCTTTGTAATAACTTATCCAAAAAGGATCCACTTAAAAAAAATGGCTTCGAATATTTTGAGTAATTTGTTCTTCATTTACTTTTTATTCATTAATTTTTTTTTCATTTACAAATTATAATTTTCATTTCAAATATCAATTTATGCAGTTACTTACAAACTGATTTAACAGAGCTCACAAGAAAACAAGATCTGTATAGTGGAAAGAGGAATAGGCCAGTTGAAGAGGCAGTTCCATGTTCCAAAAAGCATGCAACGTTATTTTGGCCTGTGCTATTTTACATAACACACAAGAGCACAACATTGCTTGTCCGAAACTAGAAGATGATGACCATGATCAACTTGCTGATGTTCTTTACTTGAATGGCAATGATGGTTTGCGATACAGAGAGAAGTTTGCTGGGACTCACTTTTGAGTTACAGTTATTTTTGTAGGCCTTATATGTATAAACTCATTAACAAGGTCCAATACGATTTACATATTTTTCATTAACCTTATCTTCACTAAACAGTTTCCAGTGGTGTCACATGTGACATAAAAACAATAAATCAATATAAATCTGAATCAATAAAACATACTTTATTAAAATAGCTAGGTTCACTTTATGCATAAAATGGCCCTGTAGATATACCAATTTATTGACTTACACTTTATGTTCCATTTCAAAGATCAAGATCAAGTAGAGACTTAGTGTTTTCATTTCCTATTAAAAATTTTCTCCGTATAGCCAAGGTCTTGGAAAACAGGGCTCATGAAATTGCAATGTTCTTGAATTCTAAGGAAAACAAGTATATTTGAGTACTTTCACAGAAGAGAAATAATATGAGCGCACCCTCTGATCTTAAAAATAAAACAGGTTTTGTAATCCTCAGAAATAGTTCTATCATTTTATATTTGCATATTTAAGATCAGAGGTTACGCTCTTTCTTTTATATCGAAATATAGCTTTAAAAATTATCTGTTTTGTAGAATTTTTCACGATATGAGGAAAATGACGCATTTCATGACGTCATAATGCATTGGCTAGCCAGTGTAGGAGTTGTATTTCACACTCTAAAATATTTTCACTTTTACCCAGGTTCGTTCCGAAATATTATTGTTCTGGACCAAGATTAACTTTCCCTAAATAAAACAACTTGTAAAGTTTCAACAATTTATTATAAAAAAAAAACAAAAAAAAAAAAACAAGCAATTAAAAAAAAAACATGTAATAACTGATTCAGGTGGAAAAGGTGTCAACCCTAGACCTAGTCAATGAGTAGATACACTACTGATAATATAAAGGTTTGTCATGATTTAAATAGCCAAAAGAATAAAAGAAGTGAAAGTGACCAATAGATACTTTTCATGCTTGACTGATAATAGAACACCGATAGCCAAAATATATCTCTCGATAGAGCTGTATTAATCTGAATACCTTTAATATTATGGAAAGCCAAAAGTGAAATCTACTACACCAGAAAAGTATGTCATTTTTGATAGATACGCAGTCATCAAAGGTCTAAATGATATTTAATGCATTGTCAACTAAAACCAAGCCAAATAAAAAAGGCCTTAAGTGAACCTTGTTCTTTACTCTTATCTTTTGAGCTTTTTATTTTCAAGTTTAAATATTTTTTAAACATAATTATTCTTCCTTATTAAAAAGAAAAATCTAGAAGGACAATTTTAAACTGCGTTATTTGTTAGTTAACTCACGACCAAACAGAGTTAGATTAACTTACTACCATACTGTATGTATTATATCCTGATCCAGAATCGATTGTGACAGTATTATTTCTCAGTAACGTCAGATGGTGAAATAAAGTTCATCAACAATCAGTAAGACTTGACGTGTGTGCATGCGCTATTCACATGGAGAGTTTAACTCTAACACAAGTTCTTGCGTATTATAATTTATACCACATTTACATCATAATTTGATCTGAATAAATTTAATCGTTTTTACTATGTGTGAAAGCTAATTCAAATTGAATTAAGACTAATGTGCATTAGTCAGATTTTGTCCGATGCAAAGTGTCGGTAATTAGATCTTTTTAAGTGAAAAATGTATTTTAAAAATATGTTTATCACTTAAGAAGTAAACATTGGATATTATTTTTTTTTTATTATAAGTTCCATTAAATTGAAAATGCATTAATTTACTTCGCAATAACTGTCGTGTGAACGCCATTTCAGCAGCATTTTAATTTTTTTTTTTTTTTACTTTATGTGACGTAAAATTTAATTCTCATAATAGTAAACAGATCATAAATAAGAGAAATATAAATGTAGGAATGTATGACAATGTTTATTAATTACTTAATATACTTAAAATAAAGTAATTAATTACTTAAAAGCAAAATTCTTATTCCTTTCAACAAATAATGGTCAATAAGTTGATCTCGATGCTGTTTTTGTAAGGCCAATCGACCTTGTCTTCCAACCTAGGAAAAAATACAAAAAAAATCAATCAACCAAGTGATATTTGAATGTTTTAATCAATAAAGTAGTTAAAAATAATTGATATGAGAAAACAGATATGGCACGCCTACAAAGTTAATAACAAAAGGTAAAAGAAAAGCAAGCAACATTAATTCCCTCAGGAATATCTGCTAATTATCTGCTAATTTAAGTGTTAGTGTATTGCTCTCGCGGATAACGAAATATAATTTTAGACACTGTTTATTAATGAAGGACTTCATTAATACCCGAGACACTGATTTTTAGTAGGATAAATACTTCATTATTTTAATTGGAAGCCGTAATTAGCAGGTATCTTCAGACACTATGAATAAGAATATTATACTATTACTGGGTGTCCTGCTTTTCCACAAGGCTTCTTGTCTAGATTGGATACATGAGGAAAGATATGCTGGTCCTGTAGTTTTAGTGATGAAGATAATCGGTCAGAAGCAATGTATTAAAGAATGTCAAACCAGAGCTACTCTGTGTAAAGGAATCAGTTATAAGAAGGAAAATCTACAGTGTGAAATCGTATCCTCTACTGAGGAGATGGAGCCTTCCTCAAAGTACCTCAGAATTAAACTCGATGAAGTAAGTAAAAGAAAATAATGAAACGTTAATAAGGTTTTCATTCCGTGTATTTCTAAAACATACAATGAACATATCGGATGCAACTAATAACATAATTTATGTAAAATTCAAAATTCAAGCCCTTGGTAAATTTAAAGTGTTTTGATGTATAGATGCTAAGTCAATGCTTAAAAATTATCCAATATTTTGATCCATCTGTTTGTTTTTAGATGTCCGGAACGAAGATCATTTTGCGCGTGCAATGAGTGAAATGACTGATATACTTAATATAGTCATAACTTTTATATTTCTTGATGAATTGCTTTGCCACTCAGAATATAAAGATACTTTGGTATTGTGGACAAGATTACATAGTCAAATTGGCATGAACCCACGCGCATGCACGTGCGCTTCGCTCTGCATGGTTGATACAAATATCTTAATATCTTCCATGTTTTTGACGAAATACTTTGAAGTTTATATATAATATAGGTATATATTATTAGGTTCTACAACATATTATTTAGGAAATTTCTTGAAAACAGGCGCATGCAGGTGTGCTGCAATCTGATTGGCTGAAACTTTAAATGCTACACTTCCTTGGTTTACAACAAAACATGATGAAATTTATAATATAGATGGGCACCTTGGGCTTCTACATTATGATACTATCAAAATTGAATGCAACGTCATGCCTGCGCGTGTGCTGGATTCTGATTGGCTAATACTTAAATTGTTAAGTATCTTTTATTTTTCAATGAAATTCTTTGATATTTTACACAAATGTATATATTGTGAGACATTAAAAGAAAATTTAGTGAAAAATGAAGAAAACATGTGCAAGCACATGCGCTGAAATTTGATTTGCGGAGAAGTTTTCCAATTAAATACCCTTAAAAATAGTGTCCATCTATATTACAAATGCATTGCCTAATTCAGTGAAGCTTGTAGGGAATGGAGAATCATAAGGGATATTGGATTCGTTTGAGGAACATCTAGATCTGTAATTTTGTATTGGGTTTACACTGTATTAACAAAACTCTTTTAGACAGTGAATGACAACGTTGAATGCCTGTCGTGCTTGCCGAATGAGAAGTGTGTATTTCTTTCAAGCGAGAAGACATATTGCGTCAATGGTATGTAAGGTTTTATGAGGACTACTACTTAAAAGTAATTCCACAGACGGATAAGTGAATTCATTATTAAGAAAACCATAATTAACTTAATCCAAAACATTAATTTGCTAAAAGTAAACATTATAATTCCGATTTGTGGACAACATTATTTACCAAAAGCTGTAGATAATAAAACTGTGAAATAATTTAGTTTGGATTAAGTTTATAAGCAATATAGACAAAATAATATTTTAGTATTTATATGTACTTCCTTTTAAATATCTTTTCCTTTGTTTTTTAAGATAATGGTTGTCTATTTTATAGCTCAAACTAAATATGTTCATTTCACTAAATTCAGAGCAACAGTAAAGAACTGACATTCCATCTAAAAATTCCCTTACTTTTTCCATCGATTATCTTTCTAATATTCAATTTCCTTTGTTAATATTCACTAAAGCATTATACTAGTAGTTGTTATTAATTTGGAGTGAAACCAAACTTTTATCTTTCATTTCCAGATAAAAAAGGTACTAAAGATTGCACAGAAGTACAAAGTCTCTCATCTCAAAGTGGACTATATAGAATAAGTATCCCAGTCTTAGGTCACGTGACCGCCTTTTGTGAAATGGAGGCAGATGGTGGAGGCTGGACAGTATATATATATAATTAATTTTTATCAATACATGTAGATCCAGGTTGAGATGAAGGTGGATTGATTACTTTAAAGTCAAAAAAGCCTTAATAGTTCAAGAAACTATTTGTTTGTTTGTTTTGCTGTTAACGTCCCTCTCGAAAATTTTTAACACATATGGAGACGCCACCTTTTGCCGGTGGAGAGCTACAAATTTTGACCTACACTCAGCACTTAGGGCCATTGAGCAGTGAGGGATCTTTTTCGTGCCAGTACCTACATGTACTGCGACACGGGACCACTGTTTATACGGTCCCATCCGAAGGACTGGTCTCCACGTCCCACTGTGGGATTCGAACCCGCGGCGTAAGGATTAACTCCTTACTCTGCGACTCTAGAGCAGACGTTTTACCATTGCGCCACGCGGGCGACTTGTTCACGAAATAAAGTAACGTTTTGATTTTTTGAATTATGTACAGTATCAAAACAATTTATCCAGTGTACTTTATAATAATCAAACCGTCACTGTTAATTTTAATATTATCCTGTTGAACTTGAATGACTTTTTCTTATTAACATTTCATAGAGTTGCATGCGGAAATTCAGATTAATTGTAAAGGTTTTTGAAGAGCAATTACACTGAAATCAATGTTTAACAAGAAAGAAATTTCCAATATATGCATAAAATCAATATACGCGTCATAGATAATCAGAGCAAAAGATTTGGATTAATGAATTGATGACTTCTCTCACGCATTAACATATCTTACATTTATTTTTAATTTATTCGTTCAGGTTTTCCAACGTCGACTTGACGGATCTGAGGATTTCTACAGAACCTGGGCGGAATACAAGGATGGATTTGGGAATCTCACGGCTGAATTCTGGTTTGGTAAATTACTTGTTATTCATTCTAAAAATGACACTCACTGCAAAATTAATATTAGATTTCTTGAGAATTGAGTAAATGCAACAGGGTCTTCAAGCCCTTTATTTTATAATTAAAAGATATTAGCAAAGGAATAAGGTCAAGTTTCCTTTAAAATTTTCCAATCAATTATCTTTTAACTTTAAATAAATACAGTTATTATAAATTAGATTCATGTTTTAAAAGAAAAGTAGACTAATTAAATTTGCTTTCATTAAGGTTTTTTGAAATCTTTTTTTTTTCATGAGTAAAAATGTCATTAAATTGATTTCTCTTTTTGCTTCAATAGGTAACACATATATAAAGCTTCTAAAAAAATGAGTTAAACATGTTATGTAAATACACATTTTACATTTGCTAATATTTTTCTTATTGAAGAGCAAACAAGTTCCTTTCTGTGTAAACTTTTCAGAGGTCATAACTTGACCTTAAAACAGGACGCAGTGATACTTATCTGTACCGAAACCTTTACAAACGCCAATAAAGTTATTTTTATTGCTTGAGAAAAAGAAAATTAGGGAAATATTTTATTTAACAAAATGCATTTGAGTAGGCCAAAATTGGAACTTGAAAACGCCATTTTTCGACCCCCATTTGGCACAAAGGGTGAAAATGAAAATCAAAAAACCTATTAATAGCACAACTGCTGGACATGTATGTATAAGAATTGAGTTCATGGAAGCAGTTTTTTTTGAGGAAATTTGAACAGTTGTATAACGGTACTTATTGTCGCTCTGTACAAATTATCGCCGGCGACAATATGTACATGTAGCTACCCTCACTGGACATTGTCGTCTATCGGTACATATTATAATCGGCGACAAAATGTACCGAGACAGCATTTTTCTCAGTTAAATAGGTAAGAGAGGTTGATGATAGAAAATTGAAGACATCATGTTTATCACTAGGTTTAGTTTGCCATCAATGTATTTCCCTAGTAAGACATCCAAGTATGCTACAGATGTATCAGACTTCATGGTATCTTTTATTTCCAGTTCAATTGGATGTATCGAATCATCGTAAGAATAGAAATAAATGCTTTGAATTGATTTAACGTCATGATACATGTATAATCATAATATACTGGTATTTATAAAAATATTATAAAATTAATATTAAAAATTAAGACTGGCACATTATTTTTTTTTCAACAACTGTGAGCTTAGATATGATGACCAGGGGGTATCTTTGTAGAGTTGAAAAGTAAAACCCGAGTCACATTTTATAAAAACGACCAAGGGCCGACGGTTTTTGAGGCAAAAATAGGATTCTTCAGGCGGCCGGATGGTTGTCGACCGTTGTCTTGCCCGATTTTGACCTCTTCTCGTCGGTCGACCAATTTTGTGCAAGTCGGGCCATGTTATAATTTTTTTCTGCCTCTTTGGCTGATTACTTCAAATGAAGCAGTCGTTGAATAGTCCGTTCACCAACCTTCAACCATCGCCTGACCATCAGCAGACAGTTCTATAAGTCGGTTTAATCAATTTAGGAATTGGGTTTTCGTAAATGTCGACGAAAATCAAACTGTGGCTTACCGAACGATGATCAGGCGACTGTTGGCCGACTTAGAATTATTTAATTTTTGAAAATTACCTGTGTTCCTATGAATCAATGTGACTGCTCTGCGTTGCCCGATACCAGTGACAGCCGATCATGTTTTTCAGCCGACAATACGAGAAAAAGACTTATACGTAGGTCACATTTAAGCCGATGGCCAACAGTCGTCCAACCATCGTTCGCGAGGCCGCAGTTTGATTTTCCCCGTCGGCCGACATTACGAAAACCCTATTTCTAAATGTCGACCGACCGATGAACGACATAAAGAACTGTCTGCAGATGGTCGGACAATGATCGAAGGTTGGTCGTCGACTATTCAACAACTGCTTCAATTGAAGGAATAGGCCAACGACGCAGAAAAAAATTATAACATGGCCCGACAGACACAAAATTGGTCGACCGACGTAAATGAGGTCAAAATGGGACAAGACAAAGGCCAATGAACAGCCGACTGTCGCCCGAAGAATCCTATTTTTTGCCTCAAAAACCGTAGGACATTGGTCGTTTTTGGAAATGTGACTGGGGTTTTAGGCATACGGGATCGATCCTTATATCGAAGATTAAATCCCACTGAGGGACCTGGAGACCGAAGATATTAAATTGAGGTCCCTTCTCGCAGAATATACTGACAACAACAAAAAATATCCTTTATTGCTCAATAGCGAAAGGTGCCCATTAAAGTCTCATTCTCCAGCTTTCCACAGAGAACTGGCCATGGAAATGTTGACACATGAAACAAAAAATTAAGGGATTGATTGAACGTTGTGGGTTAACGTCCTTTGAAAAATATTTTTACTCATTAGAGACGTTACTTTAAAAAATTTCAAGGAAAGCCCTAATAAAATATTCAACGAATATTTAAAAATATTTTGAGTATTACGTTCTTCTTTGGAAAAATAGTAGTTGCACGTTATAAAGATAATTGGCTTAATGACATTTTCCATGGTTCTCTTACTTCTCTAGAGTTTCTTATAGTTACATTTTGAACACCTTAAAGATATATAAAAAGCAACAAGTATCTTTTTTTCTAAAAAGAATTGATAATTGATGAATAAAAACCAGAAAAAAAAATGGGAAAACTACACAATCCTGATGATCCCTTTTCATAATTTCAATTTAGCAAACCCTGTCTTATCACTGAGTTTTGTGTTTGGTTTGAAGCCTAATTTGTAATCACCTGATAGTATTTACTTGGATAATTCTATTGTTAATTAAGGAAATGAAAAACTCTACCTCTTACTGAGTCAAGGAATATACGAGTTACGGATGGACATGAGTGATTTCAACAATCAGACACGTTATGTTAAATACAGCAGTATATCTCTCGGTAACGAGGCTTCAAAATACCTGATGTCCTTATCTGGGTACTCGGGGGACGTAGGTAAGTTATTTAAAAAAAAATATGCTAGTTCTCTTAAAACTAAAACTTAAAACAATAATGAAAATCACAATATAAAATACACGCACCTCTAAATATATTGGATAAGATTTTGTTTCTTTTTTCTTAGATATTCTATATTTTAACTCTCTTCATTGCATTATTTCTTTATTTATTGATTTTTTTTATATATATTTATTATTTCTAGCTGATTGTTTTACTGCAACAACCAACCCCATACAAAATATGAAGTTCTCGACGAAAGATCAAGACAACGATGTTGATGGAAACAACTGTGCGACTTTGTACAAGTCTGGATGGTGGCATAATAAATGTCATTGTTCTAACCCTAACGGTCTGTACTTAGCTGGAGACACCACCATATTTGCTGAAGGGATAACTTATAATCCCTGGCTAACGCATTATTACTCACTGAAGACGATTCAGCTAATGGTTAGAAGAACAGTATAAGTAATAGAGCTAGCTAAAACAGAAAAACGGAAACGTAGGGAAAAATGAATGTAAATTTCAACGGAAAAGATAGAGAATTGTAATACGTTAATATATCTCAATGTACATGTCAAAAGAATGGAAATAATGAAATGAAGCAGTGTACCGAGTACATAAATACTACTCCATGAATGAATATTTCAAGCCCGTAAGATCCTAGCATATTGTCATTTGATAGTTTTTTGGTGAATTCTTTTGCTTTTATTTTCCTGTTTGGTTAACCTATTTAAATGTATATACAACTTTACTATAACACCAAGATTAGTCCACTTAAAATGAAATTACTTTCCAAATGTGAACCTTTGTCTACATTAACAATCAGCGCTTTAAAATTCTATGCTTTTTGAGGTTAAGATAAATAATCTTTTTAATCGAAATAAAAGGGGAAGTGAGAATATTGATCAATCTCACGAATCCAGTAAAGAGACCGTCACGGTAGCTCAGTCGGTAGAACGCTCGCTCCGTGATCGGAAGGTCCTGTGTTCAAATCGCGGCCGTTACTGACCTAAGTCGATAAAAAAAATACGTAGGAACTGTTCTTTTGCCAAACACTCGGCATTTTTAAGTGAAAGATGTGGGTCTTTCGGATGAGACCTTCAGAATCGAGGCCCCGTGTCACGGTAAGGCGTTGGCACGATAAAGAACCTTCACTGCTCCAGTGCCGAGTAAAGGTCTAGATTTGAAGCCCTTCACCGGTATATGGTGACGTCTCTAAATGAGTGAAAAAAAATCTCGAACGGGGCGTTAAACAACAATCAGTCAATCAAGTAAAGAATACGAATCGCGAACAGGGCAAGAAGAAGGACCCTTTAAAACCCAAAGCTGGACATTCTGGCGGATTGACAGGTGGTTATAAAATTTTAAAAATGGCATTTTATAGTAGAAATTTGACGAGTATAGAGCACAAGAGGAGAGATGACTTTCATAATTTTCAAATATGCGTTTCCTTTGACATCGCTGGATCGTATTTTGTCTGGCATCTTTCATACCATTTGTTAGTGGTTACCTTTATACAACAATGTAAAATTGACTTCGGAGTACTCCCTCTATCTGATAAATACATACGGCTCGCTCACGGCGGGTGTGAATGGTCGACAGGGGATGCTTACTCCTCCTATGCACGTCATCTTCGCTTCCTGGAATTGTGAGATTGACCACGATTTGTTATCTTTACCTTTTACAAGACCTTCCCAACTTTGACAAGACCGTTACATTACACAATAGATCAATTCACGAAAACCAATAAAACCCAAATCAGAAGACAAATTTTATGACTTTCTTTGTTAATGTCTCATATATGACAAGCTAAGAACAAAAATGTACTTCCTGACTTCTTACAATGTTTAATGACAATAAAAATTTCCCCTAAATCGATAAATAAGAATACAGCATGAATTTTAAGGATTGTTAAATGAGGTTAAACTGAAAAGTTGTTGATACAAGCTTAAAGATACCAACAATCTCGCTTAAACAGGTTGGGCACAGTTCCTTTTTCGGGGAAGTATTACTATAAAACGGGATTATTCCTTTTTTTAGTAATAAAAACATTACTGTATACGGGAATTTTCACTCGTTTGCCCTCTATTCTCGTATTGCTTTGAATAAAAGATTAAGTGCAAAAATATTTTCACATTCTGTAAATATTTATAGTCTATAAAGTGTATGTATGCTCAAAACTACTATATTTATGGCTGCAAAATGCTGAAAAAGAGTGATGAAATTTTTCTACGATATAAATTTCTTACGGAAGCTTATCTGTGTTAAAATTGTGAGATTGAATACGTTCAGCACTTGCTAACTCGTTCAAGAAATTTTTCGTTCTATTTTAATTTTATATCATTTCTTTCAAAGACATCGTAAAAATAATTTTTTTTACCACAGCTTCTTTTACAGATAAAAATAATTATTTGAAATATTAGATTTTAAAACATAGTCTTTCAAAGATGGTTTTAGCATGAATGCCCTTATAAGATTCCATACTTTTCGTATCATTTATCAACAGGGGAAATTAAAGTAAAAGTCGTGGATTACTGCTGCACGTGAGTTTAAATTCCTATGCATATTCAAAAGATGTCACCTCCACGAAACCAAGCTATAAATTTTCCGTTTTTGAACAAATAATAATATAACTTATAAGGGAAATATTCACATCCGTTTGAATAATACTCATGATTTCGTACGATTAAATCTCATCTTACTCTCGTCTGCAGCACTAAAGGACCGATTTTTTTGTCAGCGAGGTTGGTTTAATAAAGTTTAAACACATCACATTGTATTTTTCATGCACTTTTTATTTAATGAACGGATTTGGGGCATTATTTTAAAAATATGACGAAAATTCCCTTATACAGTAATGTTTTTATTACTGAAAAGAGGAATAATCCCGTTTTATAGTAATACTTCCCCGAAAAAGGAACTGTGCCCAACCTGTTAAAGTACGCATTTCGCAAATTCTATGATCAATACAGTACATAGATATTGTGCCCAGGAACAACTGCTTAATATGCATGTTGCATTTTTATACCTTGAGTCGGAGGTAATCTTCGAAAGAATGTACCGGTTTATGTACATAGATGAACGGTAAGTAAAAGGTTTAACCCTTTAACCCCCAGAGACGCATTTTCAGCATCACAGATATTTAACTGTTGGCGTTTTCTAAATATTCGGGTTACAACAAAACAATTGATATTTTCTGAAACTAGAGAAGAAACTAAACATTTTCTCTGCTCAAAAATTTTCTGTGCGATGTTGAGAAATTATCATAAACTTGAATTCATATCGTTGCAGGAAGTTGATAAAACTACGCATAAATGACTGATTTTGTGCTATCTTCTGTTGGCTTTATCTAAATTACAAACACAATAAAATAAAAAATGAATGCCATAACCTGAAAGCTAGGAATATGCCCTATATTTTTTATTCCGGACATTATAAGGTACATACATCTGTTTACAGAGATATTTGTTGTTGAATATTGGAACTTTTATGAGTAATTACACAAAATGCACTATGACGTCATTTGACGTTTTACATGCACAATGAAATCGTTCATGAGCTCAGTGTAAAACAAACTGGCTCTTTCGATATATGGAACAAATTTATTTTAAAAAAATGAATTATTTGTAAAGAAGAGTTAATATACGACACGTTTTGAGCCATAAACAAAATGTAATAAAAGGAATTTTCCATAGCTTTGGGAGATATATACATGCAGTAATAGTCTTTCACCCAACGCCCCGATTGTGTGCACCCATTGTATCAGAAATCCCTGTCGAATTTTGTGTCAGTCCTACATGTAGTAGAAATAATTAATCAAATTATTAAATACAATCATTGTCATTTTTCCTAATCTTCAGATTTATTATTGAAAAATGAAAAAAAAAATCTTTTTTTTAGTACTTGGTGTATTTTGAAAGGAAACGTGCAATTTTATTAAAGCGACAGGATAGATAACGCAGTTATTCTATTTTAATGATTAATAAAAGATGAAAAAAAAGTATATCAAAAGTACCACGTCGTACGTCGTAAACATAGCAAAAACAAACAGCTGATTGAAATCAGATTGCTAAATTTATAGAAATAATTTCTGAATAAACACACATGAAACTCAGGTTTCTTTGTTCGTGTTAAATTCATTTTTCAGTCTTCACAGAGTTAAGAACAAGTCTATATCAAACTGGATAAAAATGGAAAACTTGGGATAAACTAACAAATTCTCCCTCATTGCCTAATCCTTTACAGATTAGCCGGGATTACAAGTATGTGTATTGAAGAAACTGAAAAGTTGAATCTACTGCTACAACAAAAATAAAACGGAGCAAATATGTAAAATATTTGCCAGAACATCTTGCGAAAATAGCAAAAGGTGCTATTGAATATAAAAACCGCCATTTTACTATTTTTTTAAAAGCTGTGGAGAAATTAAAATGAATTAAAGTACAATCAGAAGTATTCGGAAACTACGCTCTATGATTTTGAAAAAAAAGTGTTTTTTCACTATAGAAATCAACGGAAAATATTTTTAAAACATCCCCTCTCCTTTTTACAGCATTTTGAATTATTATTTAACAAATTCATACCAAAACTCTTGTTGTTCCTGGTGGTGGGGTGGGGGGTATGTTTACGGATAAATTACATGAGTTAAACATATGGAAAAAATGAAGGATCGTTTATCCATGTCTATGAGTATTTTAAAATCTGAGTACTATTTCAAAATCTCTTGGTGTTATAAAGCCTGATTTCAATGGATATACATCTTCTAGACCCCTTATAAAAGGAGTTGTGATTAAGAGCAATGGACAATTTGACACTGGTATTAATAATTTTATACTGTAATTTTTTAATTTACCGGGTGGTATTAAATACAAGAGGCTGGGCCACATCGCTCACCTGAGCTCATTGGCTAGGAAGAAGCAGTAATCAGTTCAGTATTGAAAAGGAGGGAGGGGGAGGGGCAAACTTTAATTTAAACTACCTCAGGATTCTTCCATATCAATATCACTAATCATGGCTTTGCTGTTCTTAAAAGAAGAATTTTAAAGATTTCCACCGTCATGGTAGCTCATTCTGTAGAGTGCTTGCTCCGTGATCGGAAGGTAAGGGTTCGAGCCCCGGCCGCAACTGACCTAACTCGATGAAAAATAGGTAGCAACTGTTCCCCCGCAAAGCGCTCGGCACTTTGAAGTGAGAGTTGCGGGTCCTTCAGATGAGACCTTAATGACCGAGGCCCGTCTCACGGCAGGCGTAAGCACGATAAAGATCCCCCACTGCTCAATGGCCATGAGTGCCGTGTAAAGGTATAAATTTGAAGCCCTTCACATGTATAAGGTGAAGTCTCTATATGAGTGAAAAATTCTTGTTCGGAACGTAAAACAACAATCAATCAATCCTATGTTTTCCTATGTAAAACTCTGATCTCTCATTGTGGCCCCACACTACCCACCCTAAATTTGAACAAATTTGAATATACACTACCAAAGGATGCTTCTATAATAATATGACTAATCATGGCTTTGCTGTTCTTGAGCAGATTTTTTTCAAGATGATTCCTACATTTTTTCTTATGCAAAACTTAATTGACCCTCTGTTGTGT